GTCGGGGCATGGGCGCAGATGAGCGAGATGTTGAAGAATCTCGCTTTGATGCGGATTGTGGCTAGACGCTCGCTTGTATTTTCATACAAGTGCAATTTATAAAATATGACGGTGCTTTCTTTAAATTTTCTACCATAAGAAGTGCGGGCCAGCAAACTGCAAGACTATAAAACTAATAATTTTCTAGAAATTCAGAATATTTATGAAAAATTGCTAAATTCTTCCAAGCTCTGTATAAAAACTGATGTTTGGAGTTATATGACTTCATATGTCTTTTGTTAAAGCATGAACCATACTTTAATAAAAAAATACCAAAAAAAATTTTAGTTAGAAAACATTGCAAATATTTAACGAAAACCACTATGTACTCAGTTTTGCACTATATGTAGATATACATATACAAAAGGAAAATAGTCCGACCTGATCAAACTGTCCAGGTGCTATTGTATCATACATTTTAGTTCAAGAAACTGTCTGTATTAAATTATAACTACTTTTAAATTTGGTCAAATACTTTTGAAACTTTCATTTAATTATAAATTTCTTTGTCTGTTTCGACGCACATGGGATGAGAAATGGAATGAATTTTTGTAATGAAAAAATTAATATTTTACGTTGGCTGAATTATTAAAAAGCATCAGTTATATTTTTTAAATTTAAATATTTAATTAAAGTAATTTAATTCCTATATGGCGTCGTACCGAAGTCCCATCTAGCGATGCGATAACTCAAATACTAATAAACATAAGTACGTACTAGAGCTGTAGCAAGTAACGAATACAACCCCTGACTCGAAGTACCGAATCGTTACTCACATAATAATCTCGTTACTCGCATGTTCCGTATATGCACCATCAACGTCAATCAATACAACACAACATATTGTGCGGTAACGAAACTGTTTTTCGTATCGATACTGAAATGTGTTGCGTGTGTTTGTACGCACATGCATGCATGATTCGTGTGAGGTACAAGCAGGGATGAATTTCAAAATTTCAAAATGTGCCTAATGGTCTTCAAAAATTGTGCCGAAAAGAATATGAAAGTGCCACAAAATTAAATTTCTTTTATTATAATTATTTCTTAATATAAAAATTATTAATTAAGTAATTAGGTATATCGATTTACTATATTTTGTTGGATTTTATTTAAGGCACGTTGTACACTGTTCGGTGTTTCTTAAAAGTACCCAAAACCAGGAAGTTGGTTTCCATTACATGTATTGTATGGTTGCCATATTACATTATACATAATTAATATAATACATGGTTGCCATCTCAACCACATACCTACGTATACATCATTGATATAATACCATGTTTTCATACGATATNCCATAATTAATATAATACATGGTTGCCATCTCAACCACATACCTACGTATACATCATTGATATAATATCATGTTTTCATACGATATGAAACGTATTACAATTATTCACTACAACTCGGCCTAACCTGACTATCAATCGACCTCGATTGATCTAATTCTTGAGACTCATCTAGGTATTCATAATCTGTACAGCAATCACTTAACACTAAATCATCTGTATTACTTTCCACTCTTATATCGTCTTCACACTGATTCAGCTCCAACCACCTTTTCATTCGACTTGAATCAATTACGCTATCATATGGAATTTGAGTGACTTGGCAATTTTCAATATCTGTAACTACATACCTGTCATGTCCTAATTTCTTACGTACAACATTTGGGCCTTTATATTTTTTAATAAGCTTCTTATTTTTTCCTATCGTGGTATCGACATTTTTTATAACTACTAGATCGCCGACAGCAAATTCCTTCGGGGGTTTATGACTATGTTCGAAATTCCTTTCGTTTTGTAACTGCGATTTTTGGATAGCAGCATCCGCCCTATTTCTCAAGTCTTCAAGATTATCAACAGATTGAGAATATACTTCATGCAAATATTCAGATAACTCATCAACTATTTCCCCTTTTTTGTTCAATACCAAATAACAATTGACTAGGAGTCTGCCTAGTTGCACAATGTACAGTGTTATTAATTGCGAACTCTACATCAGATAATCTCTTCTTCCAATCAGAATGGTTTATAGGCTCAGTAACTTTGGAAAGCATCGTCTTTAACACCCGATTCACTCTTTCCACCTGTCCATTAGATTGCGGAGAGGCTACTGCTTTTAAAATATGGGAAATATTAAATTTCTTACAAAAATTCCTAAACTCGTCAGACGTAAACGAAGTACCTCGATCACTTATAATACGCCGAGGGCGGCTATAAGCCAAAAAATATTTCTGCAATACACAAATTGATTCCTTCGAACTGGTATTTACCGCATATAGCTTTACAAACTTAGTAAAAGAATCAATTATTACAAGAATTTGTTTGTGTTTAGAATTCACTGACTCCAATGGGCCAAAGTGGTCAATGTGAAGCGTATCAAAAGGTTCGTGCTTTTTCTCAATACTATAAAGACTCCTTTCATTGCTTCTTGGTAAAACNTCTTGCTTTTTCTCAATACTATAAAGACTCCTTTCATTGCTTCTTGGTAAAACCGAATAATAAATACATTTCAGACAATTTCGAATAAATTTACCTAACTTTTCCCTCATCGCCGGAAAATAGTAATGCTTTTGTATTTGATTTGCACATTTATCTATGCCTTGATGACCATAATTCTCATGAATCATTCTCATGACATTTTCCTCCATCTCATCCGGCACAAACAACTGCCGACACAATCCACAAATTCGAAAAACTAAACCATTCACAAGTTCATACCCCGTCACATCTTCAACTTCTAATCTTTCTTTAAGGCGTTTAATATTTACATCCCGCATCTGTGAAATTTGAATATTCACATCAACTTCACTTTCCTCCACAACACATACAACTGACATCCGACTTAAAGCATCTAGATGGATCATTTGACCTCCCCCCCTATGCTTCACCACGAAATCAAAATTAGCAAAATCTAGAGTCCAACGTGCAATGCGAGGATTAATTAGTTTTTTTTCCAAGGTCAATACTAAAGAATTACAATCCGTAACAACTACAAACGGAATACCGTCCAAAAATGTACGAAACCGCTTTAAAGCATTTACGATTGCCAAAGTCTCCAACTCAAAGCTGTGGTAACGCGACTCAGCTTCAGTTGTTTTCCTTGAAAAATATGCAACCGGATGATATTTATTATCATCCTGTTTTTGCAACAGTACTGCACCATATCCATAAGAACTTGCATCCGTATGTAACTCCGTATCACGTTTGGGATCGAATATACATAACACTGGAGGCTCAGTTAACTTTTCCTTCAATAACGCAAAAGCATTCATACATTCATCTGTCCATTTAAATACCACATTTTTATACGTAAGTTTAATTAGCGGCTTTGCTATACAAGAAAAATTATGAATAAAACGCCTAAAATACGAAAACAAGCCCACACATCTTTGTATTTGCTTAGTATTTTCTGGCACTGGATACGATTTAATTGCTTCCAGATGACTCTCATTGGGCCGAATACCCTTCTCATTTACACAATACCCCAAATATTGTAACTCTCTATATGAAAATCTACACTTTGACAAATTCAAACGCAACCCAGCAGCTGATAATAACCGTAATACCTCTGCTAGAATCTTAATATGCTCGTCAAAAGTTTTGGTAGCCACATTTATATCATCCAAATAAACTACAATTTTCCGCGAATCAACAAGTGGTCTGAGAATCATATTAATAAAACGCTGGAAAACGGGAGGTGCATTTGTTAATCCAAACGGCATGTAACAATATTCATATTGACCCATTGGTGTCACAAACGCAGTAAGGGGTATTGAACTTTCACTCATAGGTACCTGGTGAAATCCATTCTTTAAATCTAGAGTACTGAAATATGTTTTACCACCAAGATACTCCAAGCAGTCTTCAATAAGGGGCAACGGATAATGATCCCTGATTGTCAACTTATTTAAGGCTCTATAATCTACACACATTCTTAAAGACCCATCCTTTCTCCTTACAAGTACTATCGGTGACGCATATGGGGAACTGCTGGGTCGTATAATTCCTTGCGATAATAAATCATCAATCGTTCTTTCAACCTCCATTTTTTCTTTAAGGGACAATCTCCTTGGATTACTGTACACTGGCGTATCATTCTTTAGTTTAATTTCCATTGAGTAATTACCAACCCCCAGTTTGCCCCTAGTCTCATACATTGTTTTAATAAGGTTACGCATAATATCTGCATCTGCTTTGTTCAATTGGATATCGATATTTATTAGATGTCCGACATCACACTCCTCAGTTAAATTTACAGCTAGAATCACTTTAATATTTTTAGACAAAACATTATAATCCACCAAACCAACCTCATCTGAACCTGCCATAATACGAGCCTCGCAACTCTTCATATCTAACAGAATATTCACTTCAGGGTCAACACCCTTTAAAACAATACATTCTTTTCCTATGGTTGGAGCAGCCTCAGAATTACTTGACGGATATTTACATATATCAAAAAGTCGAAGGGCACTTATGACATTGTCCGCTATAGAAATTTTATTTTGATCATTCATTTTCAACAGATCATATTTCTTATATCTAATTGTCTCTATCTGACACAAACCAACTCCCATCCTTCCCAAAAGATCACGCCCCACCAACAACGGCACCACAGCCTCAGAATCTGGCAAAACAAAAAATTTATGTATTAATTCATGCCTACGAAACACGAATTTACAAGTAACAATACCACATACATTCAATCGCTTATTACCCATTCCACGGTAGCACAATAGTTTCCAATCAACATTTACTTCAACCGTTGCGGGCACACATGATCTTCTAATGAAACTGATAGGACTGCCCGTGTCAAACAAAGCCAAGAAATAAATCAAGTCAGTGCACTTCTCCCTTTGATGGAAAGCAATACTTACCAAATTATTAGGAGCTAAACGTTCAGCTATCTGGCATCGTTCGGGTTCCTCATCATCTCCAACTGCAGCTGCCACCTTTGATCCACCACGACGAGGGCAATTATGGCGAGTATGCCCAACCTCAGCACATACGAAACACGAATTTGGTGGTCGTCTCGGAGCTGTACATGCATCTTGGTAATGACCATATTGAAAGCAATTGAAGCAGCGCACACTGTTAATATCAGCCTGACCTTGCTTGACTTCTGACGCAATACTTTTCTGTGTTTTTATGGTTTTCCTCTTTCTCTCGTATCGTTCCATCAACACTTTAAGTTCCCGAATAGACGACGCGCCATACAACATTGATACTGTAGACGTTTTATCATTTAGTCCTTCTATTATAATATCGACTAAATCGGTCTCTGGAATATCGGCTCGACTAGCAATATATTGCATTTCAGTTACATACTGGCGTGGCGTTTCTCCCGATTTGATGCAACGTGATTTTAATTGGTTGAAGATATCTTGCAGCGAAAATTTACATTGAAACTCATCTAACAATGCAGCTTTTATGTCCTCATATGAGCGCACCGAAATTATGTCAATGAATCGTCTTGCGTGACCACAAACCAAATGGCGAACAGCAATCAGTTTTTCACGATCATTACACTGAAGGATTTCAAACACATTCTCCAGCTCAGCAACCCACTTTTCAATATCCTGTGACTCAGACCCCTCAAATTTATTGATCAATGCTGTCAGCATACTTAAATCAAACTTGCGACTGCCCACTTGACCAATCTCTTGCTGCAACTCAGCTAGCTCGCGTTTCTTCCTAGCAATTGCCAGCATGCGATCAAGATACTCCTCCTCTTCAATCATTCTCTCACGTTCACGTCGATCACCATCTTCTGATAATTTATTTTCACCAATCTCTGGCACATTATTGTACACGTTCAGCTGAGCATCTGCATCTGTTTCTTCACTTCTGTTCACGGCACGACCAGCGATTACATCATCGTATAAACCTCTTAACTGGACCAATGTAGCTTCTTTGTCAAATGGGATACCAGCAGCAGCAATAGTGTCCATTACTTGTTGGCGTGTTAATAAATTCGCCATTTCAGCTGATTATTCCTGATTTATTAGAAAAACTGTCAAAATACGAGTCGCTTTCCAACAAAAAATTTTAGGTTGCCCGAACCCCACACCTGAATTGTAATGAGGTATATCGATTTACTATATTTTGTTGGATTTTATTTAAGGCACGTTGTACACTGTTCGGTGTTTCTTAAAAGTACCGAAAACCGGAAGTTGGTTTCCATTACATGTATTGTATGGTTGCCATATTACATTATACATAATTAATATAATATATGGTTGCCATCTCACCTACATACCCACGTATACATCATTGATATAATACCATGTTTTCATACGTTATGAAACGTATTACAATTATTCACTACAATTATCTAAATTATTACAGTAAATTACTTTTATGAGGGAGTCTTTATAAGCGGCATACACGGTGCGTCTGAATAGCGAGTCGGTTTGGATGTGTTAAGTAAAAATAAATATGTGTTAGTTACACAGACATGATTATGGTATGATTCTGAATGACTCAACTGTGTGTAGTCGAAAGGCGAGTGAACACGTACACAGTTGACTCGCGAGCCAGACGCACCGTCTATGTTGCCTATTAGACACAAAACATAAATTCATAGTAAAATTACACAGAATTCCAATTACGGAAGGGAAATACACCGAAGTACAGCTATTCTGACATTATTACACTCATATGTATGTACCTATATGCGAAATAATGGCAGTAAGACATTTTGACCAGTTTCGCCTATTATTTTCATTGATTATTTTTTGATTGATTTTAAATAAAAGTCTAATTCATAATTTAATAAGCACAATAAATGTACACAAATCGGCATTTCAAACTTTGTACAAAAATTATAAAAACTCAGCAGGTTTTCGCAACAAAATACTTTAAATTCAGAATTTTTAGGGAGATTCCAAGTTTTCGATGTTGTGCATTTTTTCCATATAAAGTGTGTTCGAAATTTTTTTGAATGGATCAAAATGTATGGCACCGTCAGAAAAAAATATCAAAAATCATCGGGATATTGCAGAAACTGGCTCTTTCATTTAACAAACTATAAAACTGCGAACTTAGAATCCTTCCAAAAATTCTGAATTAAAAGCTTGTTGCGGCGAAAACTTACTTTTCGTACTGCATATTCACAACAGGTTTCAGAGGTCTGCAAATAATTCTCACAACCCTTATTTTAATTTGTAAATGCTTTTAATTTTCACTTTTTGTGTATGTAATTTTTTGTTATATATGGCATTTTATGCTAAACTTCTATATTTTATGATTGTGCCAAAACAGGATGAATTGTACCAAAAGTGCCTCTGAGAATGTAATGGTACTATTGTGCCTACTTTTCCATCACTGGGTAGAAGTGCTTGATTGTATGTAATTGTTCGAATCGATACAAAAATATGTTGCGTGTATACATATGTATATATGTACATATGTACGAACGAAAATTTCCTTACGCTTCGTTTCGTTACTCACACATGAGCGTCGCCAGGATCGAATTTAGGGGGGCCCGGCTCGACATATAATCTAAAATTTTCATCTTTACACATTCATGTTTCTGGCATGCGGGGGACGATAAGTAGTTGTCAATTTGTTTTTACAAAAATTATTTAAAAAGTAGACGTCTCGGTTGCTCAGCAAACCGGTTAATCGTTTCTGCAATTATTTCACATTGATTCTCTAAAACAAATTTTCGATGTATTCTTAAAATGCATAAACCTAAAGGTAAATTTTATAGGAAATTAGACTAACAATTTATTAAAACTAGTAGTAACCTCGAAATACGGGTGAGAACTTAGCTCAAAATTCATTTAAAGAACTTCGTGAAAGACAACATTTAATCTTGTATTGCTAGACACCTGATAACCCAGGATAATTTTTAAGTTCTTAAAAGACATTACTCTACTCTAAGCTTCGTGCAGTGGGCCATGAGAAAACCGTCATCTATAAGGTACAGTACAATCTTTCACAATATCGATGTATTCTTAAAATGCATAAACCTAAAGGTAAATTTTATAGGAAATTAGACTAACAATTTATTAAAACTAGTAGTAACCTCGAAATACGGGTGAGAACTTAGCTCAAAATTCATTTAAAGAACTTCGTGAAAGACAACATTTAATCTTGTATTGCTAGACACCTGATAACCCAGGATAATTTTTAAGTTCTTAAAAGACATTACTCTACTCTAAGCTTCGTGCAGTGGGCCATGAGAAAACCGTCATCTATAAGGTATAGTCCAATCTTTCACAATATCTGGTATTAGTCTTAATCTGAAACGCAATAATCATTGAAAATTTGCGCCGTTTATGGTGAAAAGTATTTAATATCACACGTTCAAACAAAAGCTTCCTTAACCCTAGAAGCCTAATCTATTTGAAAGTAACGTAAAGCCTTAACATACGCCGTTGAGGCTTATGTACTTGAAAGATAACCTGTGAGCTAAAATATACTTAGTCCTGCCTTATTTTTTAAAGAATATTGGAGTTGTGAGTTTCACTAATAATAAAAAATAGTTTTGTTAATAAAAACTGTAACCACATTTATTTAAAAGAACAAAATAAAAACTAAATTTTGTGTTAAAATTAAAAAAAAATACCCATTCCATATACGCCTCGCAGACGTACAGTACAAAAACTCAACCACTGGTTATAAAAAATTTTAAATATGTATACCGGCTAATTTTGGATCGTTCATTTTTGCGGTCATTCAGGGTCCTTTTTAATGGTCACTGATATCCTAGGTGTTTAAAAAAGAAAGGGATCTCAGCTATTTTTAGTTTTTGCTTTCGTGAAATATATTTCTAAACTATGAATAATACATAATAACTTTTCCGAATCATCTCCGAAATTATATTACTTACTATCGACTTTTCTGCCGCTTTTTACTTTTTTGACAAACACGGTCAACTGCAACTGCAGCTTGCACTTTAGTTTGATATATAGCTCAATTCTGTGGCTGCTACAGATCGGCCTAACTATATGGTACATTTGTACAGATTTGTACAGATTTGTACATTTTGGCAGTTACAGAGTAGTGTTATTTGCAAATTCTTTTATTGAGCTGAACACAAATTTCTAAAGAAAACCACTCTGTGACTTCCAAAATATACAAATGTACGAATCGTGTGACACTGTCTTTAGCCCAGTACCACATCCGACAGCTTCAAAATCAAAAAGGAAAAGGAACGACAATATTAGCCTGTTCCCGCATTCCATGATTTAGTGAGAAATTGTTCGCAAAATATTTGATAAATGTGTGAAAGGAAACGAATTTGGACTATTTCGGACTAAATCCTGGAGTAAGGGAACAGGCTAGTTTTCTGTAGCTAACAGTGATACCATATGCAGATTAAAGGGGGTATGTTCAATGAAAGGAAACAAACTTAATGTGTGGCCACAAAATCATAAAAGTTTTAAGATGGGAAGAGTTACCCTCGACTTGTGAATTAAAATGTATCACAATTTATACTTAGCTAAAAATAAAAGCATCTTTTAAAAATTTGATGAAAAACGTATCATTTTGATCCATTTGGATCAAAACGGCAACACTGATGATATCCCAAAGTTAAAAAAATAACTAAAACCGAGATTTCTCTGCTTTTCGCATCGAAAGAGTTAAAAGAAGATAAGGCACTGGAAATGAAACATAAAGCTTTGCCATTGCTTGAATTCCGGCAACAAGTACCAGATTTAAAATATCCGCTGTGGAAAACAGCTGCGTGCCATATATTTTAAATTTTTGGTACAACGTATGTATAACTGTGAGTCTTTGTACTCTACAATGAAATTCGTAAAGTAAAACTACCGTTCACAATTAGTTGCTTTCGCATACCTGTTAATAATTGAAAGTTATAAAAATTATCAGCTTTTTGTGTTCGCGTACGCAAAAAACTCGCAAAGTAGGGAAATTGGGAGAGCAAAATTACATTTCATTTGAGCGAAATCTGCTAGTTTCTGGTGGAAAAATTTTTGCCAACAGCAATTTGCCAACAAGAAAACAGCTGGTTGGAATTTACGCAAATCCCAAAATTGAATTTGATGGTTTGGAAGTTAAAATAGTAAAATGCGACTAATTAAGCTTGTATGAAGTAAGTTTAGTCAGTGAACTGTGTCGGGATAAGACTTCGGAATTTGTTTTCTTACGTTTTCAATTTTATACTTTTGAATGTAAGCAAAATTTCTATAAGCTGTTCGTCTAACTTGCAAGTTTCTGTAAATTATCTGTTTACGTACTATTTTGGATATTTTTCTCTTGTGAGAGAACAGATGACATTNAATAATAATAATAATTTTATTTAAAAATAAAATTTTTGTTTTTCTTTTTCTTGTTTTGTGGCTCTTTGAAGCATTTAGAACTTAGATGNCTAAAGCCAGATTTTGAAAATCTCGCCAAAGCGATCTTTTGAACATTCTTTTATATCTATCTTACGTACAATAGAATAATAATAAAAGTAATGTTTTTCATTTCTAATAATAATAATTTTTTTTAAAAATAAAATTTTTGTTTTTCTTTTTCTTGTTTTGTGGCTCTTTGAAGCATTTAGAACTTAGATGTGGCTCTTTTCGGCGTCGGCCTTGCCCACCCCTGCTATATAACTACATTTTCATACAAGGCAGGATTAAACAGTATTAAAAATATGCTGCAGAAACACAACAGCTGAGCTAAGAAGCAATGACATGCTATAACAGTATGTTTGAGATGGAATGACATGGCATAGCAACGCATGAAATTTTTGAAAATTACATTTTAATAGATACGCTGGGAAGAAGTTAAGAAAATTTTTAAATTTATATTTTGTTACCTACTTCACCGATTTGAAATCTGAAAACTATACCTTTCATGAGCATGAAATGGTATTATAACTTTGGTCCGATATTTGTAAGTACAAGAATAAGAAGAGATAGACTCATGAAAATGTGTACTTATGTATGTGACCAGAACAACGAGCTGAGCCGACTTGGCATATGGCAACCGAATTTCAGTTGGGTGGCCACTGGTTGAAATGGTTTTACAGATGGCAACTGCAAGCTGGCAACTGAGTTGATATATTGGCAACTGCTTTTTTGTGGTCGCTGCGGTAATAATCGAAGATTGCATGCCTACATATCTATAAGGTTAACTTCAAAGTCTAGGGGGGCGGCTCGAGCCCCCTGCCCTACGTAGCGACGCCC